GGTGGGTGGGGGGCGCGGGCGGGCGCGCGCAAAGACGACAAAATCCCTACCAGGTAGGGGCCATACCAAACCGCAGAGCCCCCCGGGCCTGCAGCTGCACCAAGGTGGGGAAACGGCGCGCCGCAGTGGCAAGGGCATCCTTCTCATCACGAGGCAGCTCGAGCGCGTGCAGGCGCGGCAGCCAGGGGGCCGCGGCCATGTGCTCAACCCCCACTACCGCCGCCCGCATCATCGCCGCGCCGTCGCGAGTTGAATGGAAATCGAGCATGTCTGAGACGGCCAGGCGCCGCAGCGAATGGAGCGGGGCGGCGGCTAGGGCTGCCCACGTCTTCTGAGCGGATGCCTTGCCTGCGGACACCTTGCCTGCGCAGGCGTAAGGGAATTTCAAGCGTAAGCCAGTCAGCCTGGGCAGCCACGGTGCATCCGCCAGCACGCGCACCAGATCCAGCTGCGACGCGACCCCCGCCGGGCGCGCTTGGTCGGTCGGAGAAAATACGTGGAGTAGCAGGACGCGCAGCGAGGGCAGCGGCACGGCGGCCAGCGCTTTGAGCCAGTGGCCCGATGCCGCCACGTCCGCATCCCCAGATACAGCAAGCTCCTCCACGCCCGCCATCCACGGCGCCGCGGCGAGCGCGGCGGCGGCCTCGGACGAGCACACATCGACCTTCAGTCGCCGCAGCCGCGGCAGGCGCATCGCGGCCAGGTGGGGGGCCGGGTCCTCGTCGGCGCCAGCGCTGATTCTCTCCACCACCAGGCTCTCAAGCGCCGGGAGCTCCACGCCCCGCAGCGCCCTCACGTCCTCAACGGTCAGCATCTCGTCATCGTCGTCCCCAAAGGACAGCAGCAGCTGCCGCAGGCAGCGGAGCCGCCCCGCCGCCGCCGCCGCACTCAGGGCCTGCAGGGCCACGCCGTAGGCTCTGCCGGTCAGGATCGACAGCACAAGCGACGTCAGGCCCGCAGGGCAGGCGGGGCTCCCTAGCACCTCTGCCGTCTCGGGCGAGACGCGCTCGGCACCTAGCTCCTGCGGGGGTTCGCGCGCGGGGGCGAATGGCGTGGGGCGGAGCATCTCAGTAGGGTCTAGCGCAAATGAAGCGCAACGCACGCGGCTCAACCGCATGCAAGGCTGCCCGCGCGCCAAGCGAGCCGGCCCACAGTCCCGGCGTCGCACCTGCAGGTGGGGCCAAGCTCGGCTGGCCAGCGCGTCCCGCAGCGCGCGGTTGCCGTCGGTGCGCACGCTGCGCAGCAAGAGGGACCGCAGCTCTGGCAGGTGGCGCGCCGCGGCGTCGACCAGCGCGCCCAGGCCGCTGTTTTTGGCTGAGGGGGTTTCGAGATCGATCTCGAGCCGCTGCAGGCGCGGCAAGAGGTGGAGGGCCTTCGCCAGGTGAGCGATCCCAAACGAGTGGATGTCATTGTCCCTTTTGTTGTAGAGGCTGAGGAGGATCAGATTGTTGAAGCCCAGCAGCGGAAGAACGGCGCATAGATTGGATATGCAGTGTACTGTGGTGATGTGAACGCGCAGGCCGTGCGCGGCCGGCGCAAGCCGCGGCGCCGCAGTCATCAGGCCGTGCCAGTTGCTCGCGTGCGCCCCGTGGACGTAGATCACGCGCGGCCACTCGTCTACCATTGCGCGGGCTTTGCGGCTGACCAGTCGCAGGGAACTGCGTGCGGTGGCGCTGGCGGAGCTGTCGTCGTCGTCGCCGCTGCTGCTGCTGCTGCTCGTGCTGCTGCTGCTGCTGCTGCTGCTGCTGCTGCTGCTGCTGCTGCTGTTGAGCGGGAGGCATGGCGCGACGTGCCAGAACACATCAATTGTTTGTCGCCGCGGCTCTCGGCAGCTGTTCAGGTCGCAGCCGCCCAGCCACATCTGAGCGATCGCTTCAGCGCAAATTGCCGGCAGCTGCGGCTCCGCCGACCAGGGCCAGAGCGGCGAGCAGCACTGCATGTCTACCTCTTGCGCCTTGCCCAACTGGCCTGGCTGGACACGAGTCAGCTGCTGTTTTCGCCGTCGATCTCCCATAATGGTGACCAGCAAACTGCACGGATACGTTGGAGTGTGCCAGATCGCGGTCCTAGCAGCAAAATTCAAAATTTGGCGGGCTTACCAGTATTGCATGTTGCGTGTTGTGGAGTCAAAGTATACCTCAACTACCTTGGAGTCGTAGTCGGCCGTCACCGTCTCACCGGGGATCCAAAGGAACAAGTGCGGCAAGCAGCAGAGTGGAGTCTTGATGGCTGGCGTCGCTTGATCCTGATGTACAGTAAGGTTTGGCCCAGGGGGGGGGGTGACCGGGGCAGGTCGCAATTATGACAAAACTACCTGGTATTATTTTACATGATACGACGATTTTTACACATTTCATTTTTAAGGCGCTACATGGTTGTAGAGGTGAGGGTGGGCCCCGCTGATGTCACCACTGCGGCGTTCTGCTCCCTCAGGGCTTGGGCAAGGCTTGAGCCGCGTGCCAACTGTGCTAACCGCGCCATGGCAGCAGGCATTGCAGGTTGTCTCAGTCGGGAAGCAGCCTTCAAGGAGCTCATGGCCGTGTGTGCCTCGCCATGCCACGCGTCCCCTTGCAGCCGTTCGACTTCGTCCTGCAGGCAACACGATCCGCTCCACCCCTGAATGTCCAACTCACTGGCATGCACCCCCCCCCCCTATACCAAACCAACATGTGAACCTGTGTCTCACGGCGCAGCCCTGGTCGGCGCGCTGGCCGCGCTGCGCTCCGCACTGCGTGCGCTGGGCTCCGACCTGGTCGTGAGGGTGGGCCCTGCTGACGTCACCACGGCGGCGTTCCGCACCCAAAACGGGGTCGATGAAACGCTCGTGGAGACGCAGGCCCCTACAACTGCAGACGGCGCCACGATGTTGACAGTTGAGCTGCCACCTGGGCAATCGTGTGTGGTGTGTGGGCTTGCAAGGGGGTCGATTTCAACAGGTGGTCCATCGTTGACTGCTGTGACCACACTTTATTTCGGACGGCGGGGGGGGCTGTCAGTCAGAGCCGGCGGCGGGGCGTGCGGGGGGCCAATGGGGGGCGCATATAGGTTTTTGGGAGGTCCCCTTTTCGTAGCGCCGCACGCGGTGCGCTGTGCCGATGAGGTGCGTGGCGGCGACATGCTAAGGCCGCAGGTCAGCCGCCCGCCCCATGTTGGCCCGATTTAGGGTGAGACGTGCGTGCTCCAGCAATAGTTCACCCGGAAGGCAACCCTTTCGACCAATGTGCAATGCCAACAACTTGTACTCCACCCGCAGCAACTCAGGCGGGCCCTTGTCAAGCGACCAGCCCCAAATGAGCGCTCCCCACTCACTCACTATTAACTAGGAGGATAGAGAGCAAGCCGCGCTGGAGGTGGCGGCGGCGGCCCCAGCCGCGATCTGAGGGCGGGAGGCGAGGAAGATGATTCGCCCCGGGCGTCGCCGGCTGGGGCCAGGGGGTGTGAGCGATGTGTCGTGGGCCGTGGAGGCGCCGTTGGGGAGGGGCGTTGCGAGCTGAAACGCAGAGTTCCTGTGTGTGCGAGTTTACAAGGACTTGGTCAATGTTTACTACATGTTTTTCCCAATGGGTGTGTGCTGATTTTATTCTGGGGCGGCGTGGAGTCAACAGCCATTGTCAACACCAGTATCATAACATTGCCAACCAACCCCAGCATCATGACTCACGAGCATGTGCTTGCCACATGCATAAACAAGCCGGCAGGTTTGCTGCCAGTGCAGTCAGTTGTCTGCACCCAAGCTCCATGGCATGTGTTTTGATTCACATCAGGGCTCTGCTTGAGTTCAGACTGCTGTCTGCGCAACATTAAAATCGCCAGGAGCGCTGGGGGGGCTGGTCGGGTCACACCTTTCCTGCCTGGCCACGGTGCGGGGCACAAGGGATGAGTCGCAGGTGCATGCATGCAGAGTTCGATGATGGGACATTCACGCGACGCGGTGCACGCTCAAGCAATACTTTTAGATCACATTCATCATCACTGTAAACAGTTGTAGCAAGTCGCAGCCAAAGGCAGAGATCAGTACGAGCAAATGGCGACGGACGTCCTTGAGCGGAAGAGCAGTCAAATAAATTCTACCATGCAGGTTGTGATTACAATCGGCACAATCCCTTGCACAGCACTTGGGAGCTGATCTCTGACGAGGCCTCGACATCATGACTCCCCCTTGTTCGTGATGCCGACTCCACCCATGCGACGCACAGGCTCCCTCCAAGATATCTGCCACGGTCGCTGCCCCGGCGGCGGCTGTGCGCAAGGCGCCCGCGGCGTCAAAGTCGCCCGCAGAGGTACTGCCGCTTGACCCAGCCAGCACCCGCTCCCTCGTCATCGTCATGCATGGTGAGCAGGGGCGGCGGGAGCTGCTACAACCCATCAAGTTGGTTACACCCATGCTCCAGTGCCGCACGTGTCTGCCGCCCGCACATGGGCGGCAGTCACGTGCGGCAAACTCTCAAGCGGTGGTACCACGCGGTGAGGGCGCTTGTGACTGTGATACAGGCGGACCACATCGGCTGGTCAGCTTTGACTGTTTGCGAATTTCCGCTTGTCTTCCGCAGCTCTTAACATTCCAAACCTCATGCACGCTGTTTCCAGGCAAGCGTGCCGACGAGCCCGGCCTCCGAAACGCCATCCTGGGTCTGAAGGCGGAGGGGCACCAGGTCAGCGCCCCCAGAATGGCCGGCAAGAAAGCGCCTCGAAAATAAGCGGCTCGGCTCAGCAGGTTGCTTGGGCAGAAATCCAACGGCAGCCTGCCTGACGGCAGCAGGCTGCCGTCATTCAGTGGCAGGCCCATGGGCAGCTGCTGCGGAGACCCTCTGCGACGCGTCCTTGACACCACGTCCCCTTTGCGGGTTCTGCATCCTCACACACGCCTAACAAGTTGGTACCGTCACCACGTGTGTCAGCCACCCCAAATGCACCCCTCCCACCCTCCCTCTCAGATCTCTGTGCGCTGCACCTTTGACGCCGGCGACGCCGACGCCTTTGTGGCCGAGTCGCTGCGGCTCCACAACTTCAGCGGCCGCCGCGCTCTGACCATCATGGCCGCGGGTGCGTGCGTGGGCTTGCAGGCAACCAGCAAGCGCGTCTGCCTTCTCAAGAGAATGGGACGCAGCAACCAGTGTGCCTTGTCAAATTCGCTGTGATCTGCCTGAGTTCTCCGCAATTGTTGCTCATTGCAAGCAGCTGTCAATCTCTCCTCAAAGTTGACCGCAGCGCAGGATCGCAGCAGTTCAACACCATTTACTCGATTCACACATGTCAATTCGCGTCCTATTCAAAACGCGTCAGGCGGCGACGGCACTGTCAACGAGGTGGCGTGCGCGATGCTCAAGCACGGCGCGCCCAGGGACGTGGGGCTCGCGGTGCTGCCGCTCGGCACGGCCAACGACTTCGCCTCGGCGCTCGGCATCTCCATGGTGAGGGCCTCGGCCAGGCACGATCTGACGGGGGGCTTTGCCTGCGATCAACCTAATAAAGATACCCTTGGGGCCCCCGACCGGGCGCGGCCAAGTATGCGGGCGGCGGGGCTCTCGCGCCGCAGCAGGCTGCTCATCTGTATGCAGACCTGCTCGGCAGCTGCTGCGGGCGGGGCTCTCGGCGCCCGCAACGCAAGCCGTGTTTCCTTGCCAGCAGCTAGATTTGCAAGCGCCTCGCGACTGGTGCGCTCCCCTGGCAACCTCCATACTTCGGTGCTACATACACACCGACCCCAGCTTCCAGCTTGATTGTTTACTCCCCATCATCGATCAAGGACTTATTGTCTCCTGCCGCACCTCGCCACCACCAGCACCTACACCCCTTTTTACCCACCAACCACGCGCGCGCCCCCGCATGCAGGACCCCGCTGTTGCGCTGCGCGTGGCGCTGGACCCGTCATCCCCCCGGCTGGTTGACGTCGGCCTCGTCAACGGCCACCCCTTCCTCAATGTCGCGCTGGTGGGTGTGTCGCAACGCTGGGGTCCGTGCTTTGGCGCGGCGGCGACTTGAGGGCAAAGGGGTGACACAGCAGCTTTCATTTGCACAACCTTCGTTCCAATGTGGTGGGCTTTATGGTAGGGGGTGCTTTGCAGGGGCCGACAACCCCAGCGCCCGGGTACCGTCATGTTTGTGCCGTCAAACATAACGGCACCCGTGGTTGTGCGCATCTGCGCCTTCAGGTCGACCCTTAAGTGGCTGCGCCAGCGTGCGCAGCAGCGCGATTGTGCACTGTGATGATCGTCATGAGGTCACATGGGGATGCCATTCATTTGCTTGTTTGATTGCGCGCCGGCCCCCTGGCGCCCTGATTTCTGCCGCAGGCCGGCGGCGTGTCTGCCGTGCCCCAAGAGGAGCTGTCCAGCCCCCTCAAGCGGGCCCTGGGGCCGCTCGGCATTGCCATACACGGTGCGCACCGCCCAGAGCCCCCTGCCCCCTCTTGCCTAAGCAGCACAGTGCCTAAGCAGCACAGTGCCGAGCGCCCTGCGAATGATTCGCAAACGAGCCAGCAATTTTCCCAGTTGCCCTTGCCATCCGCATAGCTGCTCGTGAGTTTGCCACACTTGGTTTCAACACCTGAGCATCCGGGGAAGGCTGCTGCGGTTCACTCTCAACGCTTGATGTCTCTTCCCCCAGCTCGTTACAAGCACACGTCTCACAGCGTCACGCTCAAGGCGCCCCCTCCTGGCCGCCCACGTGCATGCGCCACCCCATGCAGTCCTGAAGCGGCTGGTGTTTGAGGGCCTGCCCCCCACCAAGGGCGTCACCATCAAGTGAGACCCGCGTGCACACCGACCCGCCGCCGCTCAACCCTTTCCACGCCGCGCCCGCCGCGCGCGCCGTCGCCGCTAGCTGGGAAATCCGCCACCACCACCCACTTCTCTTCCCCTCCGCGTCTCGCTCCGCTTGACCCGACTCTTTCTGGTGGATATTTTCAACATATGCCGTTAAGCCTCAAACCCTAAAGCCCAGAGTTGAGCGCTGCCACGCAATCTCACGCGCCCGCCGCCATCCCCACACCACCAGGCCGCCCTCGTACCGCCCTAAACCCCCGCGCCCCTGCTAAACCCTGCGCTTTCATAGGTACCCATTGTCCCGCGACGCCCCCCTCAGTGACCTGGATGATGAGACGCGCCACGCCACCATCACAGGTCGGCCACCCGTCAACCAGTCAGGAACCGCTGCTCACCTGTGCACGAGGCCCCCCGCTCGCAACCCCCTCAACCCTCCTGCCCCCCCTCCCAGACAAAAACCTCAAAACCCCAAAACTTCCGAAACAACCCAAACCTCCCACAGGCGACCTGCTGGTCCTGGCGGCCGGCCAGTCCCGTCAGATGGGGCGCGCCGTGTCCATCTGCCCTGACGCACTGCTGGATGACGGCCTCCTGGACTTCACCCTGGCCCTGGGCCACCTGCGCGAACGGGTGCGTGACCGTTGCGTCACCGTTGCACGTGTGCGTGTGCGTGCGCGTGCGCGCGTGTGCGTGTGCGTGTGCGCACGTGTGTGTGCGTGCGTGCGTTCTTGCGTGCGTGTGCGCGCGCCCGCGGGCGCGGGAGCGCGTGCGCGATTAAATTGCTGCGCATCACACCGTGTCGACGCTTTTGAAGGGGTGTGCAGCGTGAATCTGTGGGTGTTCTTGGTTGCAATTGAGGCGTCCGTGGTGCCCTTTAAGACCAAACAACGGCCGGCCTGTGCCAGCGAGTGGCGGCGAGGGCTCGCCCTTGCAGTGCCTCAGGCTCGTCTTCTCAGCCTGCTCCACCATTCTTAGGCAGCTGAACCCCAATCGAAGAGCCTAATCACCCATTCCACGGCTCCACACCCTTACTATATTACTCACCGATGTCTGCGAGACCTCACCCACCCCTGGACCCTCCCAGGCGAGGGAGTTGGTGTCTGACGCAAGGGCGCGGGGCATCGGGCGTGCATCTGGCGGTGTGCGCCACGTCGCGGTGCCGTGGCTGGAGGTGACTGCGCCCGAGGGTGTGCTGATTCCGGTCAACCGCGACGGGGAGCCGGAGGACGCCTCGACTAGGTGTGTACGTGTGTGGGTAGGGGGCATCATTGTTGACCAGGATTTGGGGTCTAACGTGCCGCAACTTTGGTTTTGACGAGCTCACTGGGCGGGAAGGGTGGAGTGTGGGAGGGGACAAGTCGCTGGTACAGGCCCGCCTTGTGCAGAAAAAATCATGCGAAGGGGGCCGCAGCTGCCTGCGATGCACCTGCCCCAAAGGGACGTGTGCTGTGGGACACTGGCGCCCACCAGCACTCGGGCAAGTCACTGGCTTAATTTCGGCAGGCCGCTCACAACCACCATTCATCTGGCCCAACCAACCAACCAACCTACCAACCACCCTGCCAACAAGGCAACCAATCGAACTGTCACGCTTGCTGCGTCTCACCGTGGTCCCCTCAAATCTGAACAGGCTGCTGTTCGAGATTCTCCCCAAGCGCCTGCTCGTCCACATGCCCGACGACCGCCTGCTCGTCTCCGGATCACCAGATCGCGGCGCAGAATCTGATCTGGAGTCCGAGGACGGCGAGATCACGTCTGCCGAGAAGCTGAACGGCCACGGCAAGGCCGGCGCTGCGCATCGTCACAACCACAACCACAGTCACAGCCACAGCCACAACAAGAAGAAGCGGCCCGTCCGCGTGCGGCGCGCGGCGCTGCGGAAGCTGATGCGCATAGTGCAGCCAGAGGGGCGGGAGCTGCGGCTGCACGCAAACCTGCGGGCAGCGGCCCGGAAAGCGGCGTCGACGGGGCTGCTGCTGGGGTTAGGCTTCATCGCGGGGGTGTTCTTCAGCGGCAGGCGACGCGAGGCGGAGCAGCGGCGGCAGCAGGAGGAGGAGGAGGCGCGGCGGCGGCGGCTGGTGTCGCACGCGCCGTTCGGCGGCAAGGGCGCCCGCAGCAGCAGGCGGGGCGGCGGCGGCGGCAGCGGTGGCGGGGCGAAAGGCAGGGGCTGGAGCGCGGTGCTGCCGGGTTTGGCTGGATGACGCCCACAATGATGTCCACAGCGCACAGTTCATGCAGAACAGATCTGTTGCAGGTTGGCATTTGGGGGCGTTGATCGCCTGGCGAGGCTGTGTATTGTCACCACTGCCATAAAACAGGCACGTCTGCCTTACAAAGCTCATTCGGTCCGTGCAAGCAGCGTTCCAACGAAGCTGATTATGTAAGTCACCTGCAAGGGTAGCCTTTCATAACAGCGGGGCTTTGTGAAGTGCACAGGCTCAGGAGATTGTTGACAAACACGGGCAACACCAACTGACGCACATGGAAGCAATGGCAATGCCTTGCAGCGTCGGTGCGGCATCATACCTGTGCTTTGAATCCGAAAGTAACCCGTACTCAAATCTATGTCACCTTGACAAAGGCTGTTCGTTCCAACACGAGCAAGGGCGAGATCACATTCATCGGAATCATTCGTGCGTCCAACGCGATGGCGAGTCTGCTTCAACCCCTGCTCGCTGCCCTAGCCTCTGAAGACGCTGAAGCCTGTAAATCCAGCTACGCTGTTGAAGCAGCCGCGCTGCTCAGCTCATCGGTGAGCCGAGATGAGCTCGTGCACGCGCTGTCGCGCCTTTGTGCGGCGGCACAGCGCTCGGGCCCCTGCCAGGGCTGGGCCCTGATTGCCCTTGGCAAGTGCCTGCCTGTCCTGCCAGGCGGCAACGCTAGCGATGGCAAAGGTGGCGACGGCGCTGGCCGCGGCAGCAGCTGCGGCGATGTAATGCTCAGCCAGCGAGGCACGTGCATCCAGGCAGCGCTGTCAGCGCCGGGTGGTGCCGCCAGCATCCTGCAATGCGCGCGCTCCTGCGCCCATGTGAGCATGAGTATGACACGTGGTCACAGGGGCATTATGCATTGGCACTTGAACAGCACTGGTCTGGCTCAGCATCCCCCCTTTGGTGGTTGCAGCACTGCCCAGTGCTCATGTTCCTTTTTGTTGGTCGAGCGCAGAAAATCATGGCAGCAAGGATGCGATTGGCTGCAGCCGCCAGCAAACCCAGGCACTTGGTGTGGTGTTATCTCCTGCCCTTGCCGCCACTCGTGACAGGCCGAGGCGGACGCCCTGCGCAGCATGGCAGCCTTTGCTTCCGCCAGCGACGCGTACTGCGGGATGCTCGCCAGAGACGTGTCATCCATCAGGTTTGTGCGTGTGCGTGTGCGTTTGCGTGTGTGTGTGTGTGTGTGTGTGTGTGTGTGTGTGTGTGTGTGTGTGTGTGTGTGTGTGTGTGTGTGTGTGTGCGCTTGCGCACGTGTGTGCGTGCGTGTGTGCTAGAAAATCGAGTACTGTTGTAGTTCGCTGGCACCTGCGTGTGCACGTGTGCATGTGCGTGTGTGTTGGGGACGTGGGATGGCGCTGCTGAGCCTCCCGGCTGTGAGTACGTATGCACTGCCTTGCCAAGATAGAAACGCGCAAGCAGCGCTCACGACGGCTGCGGGGCCGGCAAATCATACCCAACTCACTGTCAGACGACCTCGGTGGCGGCCGTCATGCATCGCGTGCAATCCACAATAGGTTCCTGTCAGAGCGGGTGACCGCCTGCTCGAGGGCGCTGCACGGCCGCCTCCCCGCAAAGCCCCCGCGCGCCGCGCCGCTGCGCGCCGCCGCCGCCGCGGCCGCGGCCGCCCTCGCGGCGGTGGTGACCAGCAGGTTCCCTTTCACCTGCGGGGGCGGCGGCGACGACGGAGACGACAGCGGCGACGACGGCGGCAATTGCGACGCCTGGAAAGAGAGGTGCGGGGTCCTTCGCGCGGCCAAGGGAGCCGTCGTAGCAACGCCCGGCCTCATGGCAGCGTTGCTGCCCCTGATGGCCGATAAAGCGGATGCCGACCTGTCAGACCGCGCGTTTGAACTCTTCTCCGCCCTGACCGGCGACGGCAGCGGCTCGGGCTTGGCGGCGGCGTTCAAGGACGCGCCGCCGCCGGAGGCGCACCTGCGCGTGGCGGCCGCCGCGTGCTGCGCGCGCCTGGCGGGCGGCGGCGGGCAGGCGAAGCGCGCCGCAGCCGCACTTCGGGTGGCGGCGGCGATCGTGAGCCGCAGCAAGCCGCCAGTAGCATTCTCAATTGTGGATGACCCGACGCTGATGGCCAGCGTGCTGGCCGCTGCCCGTGTCGACCGCGGCGCGACCGCTAGATCGATCGCGCGCGACAAAGACGAGGCCGCGGCTGCGCTGCTTGGGGCCCTCTGGGACGCCACTTACGACCGCCGCGCGCGCGGTGCGCCCTCCCCGAGCCGCCAGCCAATCTTAAGGGGGCTGCTGATGCTGCTCCAGAGCCGCAGCTTCCTGGCAACTTCCAAGGTGAGCGGGGTGCTCCTGGCGGAGGACGCCATCGACACGGCGGCGTGCCCCGGCGCAGTTGCGGCGCTGGTCGCGGCGGCGCGCCGGCGCGACGGGGACTCGTGCGTGGTGGGTGCGGCCTGCCGGCTGCTGGCCGCCGCGGCGGCGCGCGGGCACGCCGAGGAGGTTGTCAAGCTTGGTGGCCTGGATGCGTTGCGGGAGCTCGTGCGCGACGGCGCGCGGCCGCCGACGCGGGCGGCAACGGCTGCGACTGCGTTGGGGAGGGCGCCCAAGGCGCCGGGCCTTGATATGGCCGTTCAGGCCGCCAGCATCCTGCTCTCCCCCGGCTGGCTGCCCGCGCTGGCCGGCCGCGGAGATGTTGCGGCGGAAGCTGCCGGGCAGCTGCCGCCGGTGATGGCGCCGGCCCTGGCCCTGCTGGCTCGCGTCGTCGGCGGCCCGGGCGGCTGTGCTCAGGCAAGGGCAGTGCGGTGGCCGGGCGACGTGAGTGGTGGGTCAGGCTGCGAGGAGCAAGGAGCAGTGGCGGCGTCTCCAACAGCGGGCGGGCTGGATTCGGCGCCAAAAACAGTAGGGGACCAGATACGTGCAGTCTTGGCGAAAGGGCCTCCGCAGGCCAAGGGCCTGGCGGGCTCGGCCTACGCAGCCCTGGCCGCCTTGGCGGCGCAACCGGCGAGTGCAGCGGCAGACGAGGCGCCGCGCAGCAGGAACCAGGGAGCGACGGCAGAGGCGCCGCTGCGGCGGGCCGCGGCCCCGGCCGCCGGGGGGGCGCCAGCGCAGGCGGCGCGCGGCGACAATGCACTGGAGCTGCCTGAAACGGCAGAGTCGCTGGAGGCAGTTATGGCTGCAAAGCTAGAAAGGTACTACTCATCCGACGACCCGGTCCTAGTTTCTTGGGCGCTGGACAGCCTCGAATTCTTCGTGAACGGCCGCCCCCAGCTGCCGCCGCAGATGCTCGCCACGCTGGCCGCGCAGGAGCCGCAGCTGCTGCCGGCGCTCGCGCGGCGCGCAGTCATGAGGGACGCGCAGGCGCCGGCGCCGGCGCCGTCGGCGGCTGCGGCGGCGGCGGAGGTGCTCGGCGGTGGCGGGGTCAGCTCTCTCGCGGACCTTGACCCTCATAAGTTTGCGACACTCGTCTCCAGCGTCCTCTCAGGGATCTCTGGGGCCGGCCCCACTGGCAAGAAGCTTCCGCCCCCCTCCCGCGCCTGCCTGCTGCTCGCCGCCCTCGCGCGCGGCCGGCGCACCAAGGCCGACGCCGCGGGGCCCGGCGGGGACGGCGCCGGCGGGGCGGCGGGCGGCGCGGAGCTACGAGAGTCGGCGGCAAAGGCGCTGAGGTGGCGCATCAAGGCGGGCGGCGGCGGCGAGTCGGACGCGGCGGCGCGCGCGGCGGCGGCGGCCGCCCTGCGGATTCTGACTGAGGACGGTGGCAGCGACAACTCAGATCAGGCAGCCGCGGCGCCAGCTTTGGCGGCGGAAAGCGGCCAGCCGCCGGCCGCTGCCGGCCGCGGCTGCGCGCCGGCGGCCGGGGAGGCGGGCGCGGAGCCGCGGGCCGGGCAGGCGGCCGCTGCGCCCAGCAGCGGCGGCGACGACGCGGGCGCCTTTGGCTGTGACAAGGCAGCACGGGCAGGCGCGGGCACAGTGTGTGCGCAGTGCGGGGC